TTCAAGAAAATAATGATTACGTCTATCAAAAACATGCTTTATGCCAATTACGGTACTACAGTTAAGATATATTGAATAATAGTTGAAACTCACTTGAAAAAACTTCCAACCAATTATAATATACAGGCTTTAGCGGCATTACACGATTTATTTTCGTTTAGTGCAGAAAATATGCCTTTACTTTACCCGGGAGATGACACTCACATTCTGCAACTCCGTATACATAAATGATTGATGGTCGTGAAACCAGTTACATAAACTAAATATAATTACTATTTAAGTATATTTCAAATTAAAATCATTTAGCTTGTTGATAGAATAACACAAAAGCACAATATTTGTCCAATTTATGGAAAGTTTGGTTTTACACTAGACTACCGTAAATAACGACAAAGAGTATGTCATTAGCCTACATTTGCTACTTTATCTTAACGAAGTCACTCAAGTCTTGAAGTATCACTGCAGCCTACCCCTTTTGTTGAATTATTTGTATGCTGGTATGCATGTTATCAGTACATGTATACGCCTAGCCTGGTACCGCCACGAAGGGGACGGGTGAATTAATGGAGGGACATGTTCAGTAACTGACTAATGTCTAATAGTCCCAGGGGGAACATGATCCTGTATATATTGTCGTACAGTTGATACGAACGCAGTCGGTTTTCCCACTTCATTTAGTCTACTTGAAAAAATGTGACGATTATCTGTGATGGATAAGTCATTTATTTATTGAGCATCGGGGAGCATTTATGTATATCAGACATGATAAGAGATGTTTCTAGACTTGAAGTCCTATAACTTAAAATTCCCCATTTTTCATTCTTCAGAGCTGTAAAATCCAGCTTCATATTACATTGTACGTTTTATGAGTTCATTTTTGAAATACAAGAATTTTCGTGAAGTTGTAATAGAAATAAAAATAGTAATAGAAGAATAACAGAAATATTGCCCCCCCCCCTCCGCCCCTTCAATTGTTTTTTATATTACGTATGGGAACTTAATTGCTCAGCAATGACATTAATTTTGTGACGATAATGTCACTTACAAGTTTTTTAATTACAGGTCGTGTAGACCATTCTTGCTTGACTAGCAAAACATTGACTTTCGGACGTTTGCGGCATTTCGCCTTTTACATCATATACTTTAATCCTAGAATACTTACAATATTTTACCATACCGTAAGCCTATTCATTTGGCCATTTAATCGTAAACTAAATTTTGCCTTGAAAAAGTAAATTTTCCAGATTTGTTGAAATTTCTACCAGAATTTGTCTGCTCCCCCTCCGTCCAATTTCTACGATCACCGGCCATGGGATTGAATAGAAACTCACTCCATGTCAAAATACAAATGGTTACAACCAATAACAACAGTCAATAACATTTAGATATCTTATAACAACAGACAGGGCCGTCCATATATTCATCCCATTGAGTTAGCTTCATTCCCCGTTTCAGTTAGCTTCATTCCTACGTCATCACTAAGTTCAGTTAGAGTCATTCTAAGTGAAGCTGTTTTCTTTCAATTTCTCTAATATCGCGGGTGCTTGAGCCTTTATTTGTGGTTGTTTACAATTATATCTTTATTAGTTTGCATGGCGAAACTTTTGGGATCAAGATTCAGCTTGGTTTGGCTGAAATTGGAGATTTATCGAAAACGAACGAATTTTGTCAACCATCTTGAATGAAGCTAACTGCAGTTAGAGTCATCCAGTTGTGGAACAGTGTTTATTTCAAGATGTTGTTTCCAAATATTTGCATGACCCCACGGGGGAAATGCAAAGTTTAGGAAACAACATCTGAGTGGAATAAAGCAGTCACAAATCCCCAATGCATTGAGTCTTGGGCTTAAATTCTTTTCATGCCTTGCAAAATATTTTCTATAAAATCACCTAAGAGATGCAAAATCACTAAAAGATCATATTTTCAATGGAACTTTTTGCAAGGGTCAAGTATTGGAAAACTCAATTTCAATCTCCATCGCTTACCCCCCCCCCCTATTACACCAAACTAGTTCTTACCCGTTCTTGCCAGTCCTACGAAAACGTCGTAAAACGGGCTCAATCTGGCTGTGGTCGGGAAATATGTCTAAAATAATTAGCTATTTCGTTCATAAACAGTCTTCAAAACGTCCATCTCATTCGCAGTTCGTTCAGGTCGCACCAGATCGGTGTGCAACGTCGTATAACGCGTCCCTTAGTCTAGAAGGTCATCATGACCTGATTACAGAACGGTATGGTCGCCATCGAATTTTGAATCGATTCAAAATTCTAAAATCACCTTCCCGTCTGAGAACGTTCATGAAGTTCGTAAATAGACCTTAGAACGTTGCAGCTACATTCATTCCGTTCGCACACAGTTTCAAACCAGTTTTAAAGAACGCAGTGGCAACTTGTTTGGTGTGATAGCTATATTTTTGCTAACTCGTTCATAAGCAGTCTTAAATACGTTCTTAATCAGTTTAAATCCGTTTGCAATTAGTTCTACCTCGTTCTCAATACGTCCTCAGACAGTTCAACTCGTTGTTAAAACGTCCCTAGTAGGATTGAAGTACGACGGTTCCGTTCGTAGTACGTCCAGGTCGTCGTTAGTACGTTGTCACTCGTTCTAACTGTAGAACGTATCGACCACGAGAACATTTTGAGCATGTTCTAAGTTCTAGGGGACCTACCCGTTCGAGTACGTTCGATGAAGTTTGTAAATAGACCCAAGACGGTTCTAGGTACGTCCAGTCCGATCGTACACAGTTGAAGCCCGTTTTCGAGAACGTAGTGGAAACTAGTTTGGTGTGATAGTAGGGTTAGCAACTGTACACAAAAACGCTTTATTGATATTTCACACACTGTTCATTACGTTAATACTCTGTTCGTTTTGGCTGGAATCAGACACACCTTGCTTAGCTATGTGTGAATCCAGTATAAACCATGACAAGTTAAGATGCACTAAAAAACTACTTCTTATCCCGGTGGTTCAATATTTATTTCAAATTGTTGCTCCTTGTATATAGGACTTTATTCTTTGAGCAATTCAAAAATATATCACATTAATAATTGAACAAAATATAGAATCATCCTTCCGTGTAGGCCTATACATAGATAGTGTATTCACATTGAAAAAATATTACAAAATTTTAGTGTACATAAAACCTGTGCTCAATAAAACCGTGATTGTTTTCTGTAATACACAAATAGTCGAGTGTTTCATTATTTTTTATTTAAAAAACGAATCATGCAAGCTTTACAAATGAAAGAATTGTCACTTAATGATGACGTACGTAACACAATACCGAAACAATTTCATTAACCCGTGATACCTCTGCTAAGACTGAATTTCACGGCACACAATACGTTCAGATAAACAGGCTGACACTTTGTTGTTTCGGATTTTTTTGGCTGAAAAAGCTTATTGAACAGAAAGGAGTGGTATCGATATGGTGAAATCTTTGAACAAATGTTTCTCTTAAACCAGTCATAAAAAATCTGAAAATTGAACACATCGTCATTGTCATCTTTTGAATGGTAACAATATAATTTGAAAAATATATGTATATACTTTCATCTATATTGTTTTAAAAAACACATCAAACACTTGTTTTGTTCTTGGTATCATGTTTCCATAGTGAAATGAAACATCTTTCCGAACCTCATTGAAACAAAATGACATAGACACAACATGTTTAGGTCTCTCATTATTGTAATTGTACAAAGGAAATGTGGTTGATTTTAAAAAGTATCTTATTAATGAAATAAAAGGTTTATCTTGGTTTTTATCTATTTTCGGGGGATTTTGTTTTAATTTTTTCATACTTTTTTAAAATCAACCAAAAATTCCTTTGTATAACTATAATATTGAGATGTCTAAAACATGTTGTATATGCTATTTTGTTCCAACAAGGTTCGGAAAGACATTTTATTTCATTCTTAAGAATTGGTAGAAAGGAGCAAAAACAATTGCACTAAAAAACAAAAAATGTTAACAAAAACAGTGACGTGTCGCAAAAAGCTCGCGCACGCATTGTTACACATTTTGTGGCGTAATCCAGAGGATCCTCGCTTTTAACATGATAGAATGTGACGTTTTTGAGAAAATTGTACACACATGAAAATCCTTTCGTCCTCCACATTTACCTCTATATCTCAAAACATTTTAGACGAATAACTCTGATATCATATATACATTGTTAATGGGCTAGGAGCATCATAAAACACGAATCAATTGATATTTTAGGTGAAATAAATATACGTGGTGCTGTGCTTGAAAATAGGCGAATGGCGTAAATTAGCCCTATTTAAATGAATTTTGAAAACCTTTCGTCCTCCACTTTTCCACATATAACAGAAAACACATACTTTTGTGAACAAAATCAACTATTTATTAATATACTAGAGTTTAGGAGCAAAATAATCATGTATGATTTATTAAAAATTGATCTCGTATTTTTTGTTTAATGTACACCTGAAAAGTTGAAGGTACCAAAAAATGAGCAAAAAAGGTCGCTGTCAACAGATTCTAATTTTCAGACTCTATGACGTCACAATATGGGACGCTTACTAAAATTCATCCTTTGAAATAAAACTTCCATCTACCTTTATCAAGACGAAAAATAAGTGTAATAGTCATATATTGTTTGAGTTATGAGCGTTTAAAGATGAAAAATAATTCAAAATGTAACGTGTCAACATGGGATATTTGCCAGATGTTTTGGTAAAAAACTCTTTTTTAAAAACGAACACGCAAAAAATGTGAACGGAGTGTAGTTGATCTAAAATCTTCATCGAAACAGCTTTAAAATGATATATAACTTTAATTAGAATATTATCTTATAATCCGGGGAATCAAAGTTACATTCACGCGATACCCTTAAAAAACAAATGCGCCACCTTTTTGCGACACGTCAGTTAAATAAAATTCTAAATAATTTTTGCATTAAATTGTTGTCAATCGGTCAACATTACATAAAATACCGTGTTTTTTACAAAATGTTTTCAATAATTGGTTTAAGAGAAAACCATTGTTGAATTCAGTTCATCATATCGATACCTATCCTTTAAGCATTATACATTTAAAAATGATGCCACATAAACCATCGTAACACCATTGATCTAGCAATCTTCTTCATATTGAATTCCAAACCTCCATCTTCTTATTATATCTTAGAGCTTACACATGAGTATATGTTCGATTATATGATACTTTTTGCCGGCAGAATTTGCGACATCTTTCGTTCATTCGTTTTACACAATTGTGCTACTGTGGCCCCGTAATTAAATCGCTCTTATATGTCTACCACTATAATAGCTCATTGGAATGGGCATTATATAACGCCATCTCTCTTATATGTCAACCATCGTAAAAGCTATGTGTTATACATGTATATGATGTCTCACATGACTACAGTTATGTAGTGTTCGTTTTGCCAGCCTCTTTTCAAACAACCATTGCCATATCATAGAGTAATGAAATATTCATAATGACGCATGTAACAATTCAGCAACCACAGCGTTTGATTAAATGATATAGTATATGACGTCACACCTCTCCTATAACAACCATAGTGCTAGCTTTTTGAGATATCACATGGTCTATTTCTCGTTTCATTTGGCATAGTGAGCACTGCCAGCAGCAGGTTACTGCACAACAATCATTCATGACACTGCCCTGAAACAAAATCATGAAAAAAGGTTTTCATTAGTAATAGCAATATTTCTCTGAAGCAACAGCAATATAATGGCAATAACAAAAGAGAGTTGCACAATATTAAAAACATTTTATCTCTCTATTCCCATTATTCTCGTAAGTTAATATCTGAGAATTGTAATATTATATATACAGGGTGGGCAAATACGTCCACGCTCTTCTTATAGTGATAAGTTTTTTAAAAGTGCATGTATTTAAAAATGCTTTTGTGGAGTGGGAGAAATCAATTTTGCAATTATTCCTAAAGTGAAATAAATATATCCAGGTTTTCGTTAATGTTAGTGTACGATACACTGAGAGTCTAGATGAAAACATACAGTTATCAGTGAGAATTAATAATATACAAAGCAACACTTTTTGCCCAACCTGTAGATCAGCAACATTAATCCGAACATTTGATTGAATTAGTCATTTCATTGCAGAGACATATAGAGAGGTATAAATAAACAACTCTGGGGAACCTTTGTGCGTGTATATCCAATATGTTCCCCATATTGAAATGGAATAACTCCACGTTAGATCATGATTTTGGGATGTATGGGGTTTGTTTTTCTTGACCGATATGCACTTAGAGTTTGCTTTTTCTTGCTAAGTTCCATTACAACTTTTGGTTCTTTCCCTTTGGCACTTGTGCTTATATATCCTTATCATTATTTTTATTTGTAAAGAAATTTCCCAACTTGTTCAACTAAAATATCCTTTATATCTTAAATGTAGAGAGACAATATAATCTTTCTTCGCTACTGTACTTAAGAAATTCTGGAGAAATCAAATGGGGACCATCAAATGGAGATTCTTAAGAATTCAGAAGTTCTTTTAGCAAAATGTAATTGTCAACATCGACACTTCATGTCAATCTAACATGCCAGTTCGAGATAAATACTTAAAACCACACAAAGACAATGACACTACGTAGGTATAAATATGTAAATTGGATTTGACAGTCCCTTTCTTTCCAAGTGATTAGTCTAAGTATGTTCCATTAATGACAACACAGATTTATACAGAATTAATGATGAAAAACAGAACGTAGAGAATAGACTAGATGTGAGCAGAAATAATCTTGATTTACGTCATCAAATATTCAAAATTCAGTCAAAGTGATGTCATATTTGAAATCTGCATGTAAAAGTACATCTATAAATATGGTTTCGAAAATTGATTATCAACTTTGAAGATTTAATTTTTTTTTGAAAATGTGACTTCTTGTTCGGGTTGATTCCTCATAGACCCAATGTTACAAAGTCACAAAAAGTGAATTATCTTTTCTTGTATTGGACAAATAACATTTTCTTTTACTGGACACATTTTAATTTGCATAACTATTAGATACATAAGGTTATATGAAAATTGAACCACGCAAATAGATGTAATTTAAGTTAAAGGGAACTTTCTACCATACCCGCCATGCTATCTGACCCGAACGAGCCATCTGGTGGTGATTCTGGTAACTACCTACTCGCATCTGCGTTATTGAATGTTGCCATGTATTATACTGTGTAATTATTATATGTTCACTAACGATACCAAAATGAACATCAAATATAGTATATTAGAATGGAAATACAGCAAAAACAAAACAAAAAATGAAAAATACTTTCTAAATTGTTATTCATGAAATATTGATAGACCTGTTAAGTTTAGGTAATCTATGATTATATGATTGAAATACTAAACGTGGCTTTGTGAACGGATGTTCACCCTTTAGTATTCCATAGATTTAGGTTTCACACTTGATTGGATTGTTTCTGTCTTGTATCATTTGCATTGAGACTAAATGATGAAATCTTACATGTAATAAATATAAGCGTATCTACAGCCACTTATATTAAACAAATACTGGATGATCAGGAGCTGGATATGGCAGAATACCTATTCGAGAAAAAATATTGGGCGAGGCGGCAGCCGAGCCCAATATTTTTTCGAGGAAAGGTATTCTGGCCATATCCAGCTCCTGATCATCCAGTATTTGTTTTATTATGCACCTCCCAATCAAAGTTAAGTGGAGTACTTACTGGAGTACAGGCTTTAACTGTCGTTTAGTTGACATTATTTTGACATTTATTTATTTTTTGTTTCAAAACTCAGACGACTTCCGGCCAGTTTATTCGCTACACTGGACGAAAATATTTGCCCCGGGAATTTAATTTTTATTTATTCGAGACGTTCTTGCAGAATTATATGTAACTTTTGAATGATAAGGGTAATTGTGACTGATTAAGTGCATTTTTTCTTCTATTTTCCGCCAGTTTCAGATGTAAGCTTTAAGTAGTACTCCAGTTATTAAGAAATAAAACTCTGAAGTGGAAATGTTGCAAAAAAATTGAAAAAAATATCCGACCCTTTTTCTCGAAAGGGTCAGATATTAAAAAAATATCCGGCAGTTTTCAGAAAAGAGCAGAGTATTGCCAAATTACAAGCAACTAAGAACCAATCAGATTTGAGTATTTTAATGAGGTGCATAATAAATGATAATATCTGCCTTCTTTTCAGTTCCCAGTTACTCATGAAAAGGTATTACAATTTCATCAATATGCATTGAATATTCAATGATGCTGTTATGCTGAATGTTCAATGATGTTATATAGACATTGTGAAATTGTACATTAGATCATGGAATGGTAGAATTTATTTCAATTTACTTGTAATATACTTTTAATAACTATTTAAATATTATTTTTAGTTTCATAAATTATTGTGAAATGTTTCCATTTGTGATATTTTACCGTATATCGAATGCTTCAGATGTGTCGACCGAACTTCTGTTGAATAAAATGGACTGAGGAACACTACGATTTCAAAAAGGCAATGTTTGAGATTGCCAAGGATTTAACCTTCCAACGTAAATTGCATTTACCTCAATAGAATTCTCAGATCTTAATTTCACTCTCAGCGCTACCGTTGAGTTGGGGACGATACACGGAATGCAACATGCCTCTCCCATTTTAGCTGCCAACCACGCCTCGAAACATATCGGACACCAGAACGCCGCACAACCTAAAGATAAAGAAAAACAGCACAGTATGTACGTGTAATAAATTGGCAGTAAAGCGTGCATGAGTACAGTGGGCGAAGCTTATTATTTCTTTAAAACAGGACTTGAGATAACCAATAAGGGTTTCGTACACTTAAGAAACATTTTGTTTCGAGAATACTAATGCGAGAAAACTATTACCAACCTTTCTTTATTAAATAATGACGAAGTATTATTTAATAAAGCTTATTTCAAAGCAAAGTTACATCAAACAAAAATACATATAAGAGACCTGCAATCTATCTCTATGATAAGTATCCTGTACTACCTCCAAATAGGTGCACCTGATCCATATATCTATTTTACTTCATTCATATTTTTCTAATAACCTGTTACACATTACATAATGTTCACTGGCATGTAGCGATTAAAGCGATACTGGATACTTTACTGAATTGTGTCGAAGTTAGACGTGTGGTGCGGAAGTTAATATGCAGATGACCATTATTTCAATGTTATATTGTTTGTAGGCAAATTGAGATTAGGCCATTGGAGTATTTGTTTCACGCATACATAAAGCATAACGCATTCAAGGGTCACATTTATCATTAAACCAATAACTCAAACATATGACCTTGTACACCGACCACCTCTTGAAATCAATGCAGGCCGATTTCAACGAATGCAAACGGTGATATATAAAAGAAACATAATCAAGCATGACCACGTCCCAACTTCTTTTGTTTTCTTTACAACTAAGCTATGACTGCAGTCTATTCAGTGTTGCGTATCGAACCTTGTTTATTATAAAAATAGTGCAACAACAAGCAGAATTCACACATTTACCTTATACTTATTCTCAACTGAAGACATTGAATTTATCTCTTTAGGTTTTACATTATAAATATCTTAACATGCAGAATACGAAAATAGAGGCTTAGGCCCAACTTTGTATGGATTTTATGAAAATAATCTGATTTTAGAGAAATGAAAAGAAAAATGTCCACACCCTACACAAAATATTTATGGTTCCCCGGGAATACGTATGCTGTGTTGCTTTATATTAGAATCGTATTCCAGTTACAGAAAGAAGTACATATCATGCTAAACTATATACATATATTTATCGTCTATTATTCTTTGACAAGTAGAGTGGAGAATAAAAATGAAAAAGGATGATTCTCGGTTTGGAGAACGAAGTTCATCACTCTAATTGAGCGCTATCCCTGCTTCGGACAAATTTGATTTTTTTACATAATATAGATTTGAATGTCTTCTTTTGAATAGACATAAATTAATTTGGGTAATATTTCTAGATTTTCCATAAAAAATTACTAGTGAACCACCCAACGTCGCTTCTATGATTCGTACCACTTTTTTAACTTGATGTATTGCATATTTCCGTGGGTCGATTTAAAAAAAAATACAAACGACGTATACATGAATATGTCATAAGCATATCGTGAGATAATTGTTAGATTAGGTTTGCTATAAGTGACTTTAAAACAAAAAAATAAAAAACATTAGTTCACGTGTTAAAGTTCCATTGACCGTGACATCAAGGAAAATTGAGCTTTTTGTCATCAGACATCTTTATAGATGGAACTAGCTATGTACTACATTTTCAAATACACTCATAGAACATATCTAAGATGTTCTTTTTATCGATGAAAAGATTCTTACATTCGGAAGTTACATTAAAATATCAATTGCAATAGCCGCCTGTTTTTAACATCCCTTTGTCACTCATCCCTTAATTATCTCTGTGTATCCATTCTGATACTCATAGCATCTTTCTGTTTCACCTGAAACATCTCAGGGCTGAGAAGAAATGAGATGTCATGGTTTATCATGATGCTGTGTATCTTATACTTGTGTGTGTTCGATTTTGATAGCACCCGAGTGCAACCTAAGGAGCACATACAATACATTTTGTGTATGCCCAGTCTGGTCTTATATCTGCCTGCTCCGAGGAATTTTGGTGGCGATTTTTTGATTTTTGTAATAGCCTACTACATAGCATCTCTTGTGCGCGTAAATCCCAATGTTTTGAAATAGAAAATAGAGACTCAATTCTATATCGATAGTTTCACAGATGAGGGTAGCGAATGGGCGCAGCTTTGACGATCAACGAATGATATAACGATATCACGGATTTCACCGAATGTTATATTCATCCCTAAATAGCTTATTTATTTAGTCTTAAGATCCTTGTGATGTTTCTATTCATTGCAGTGACTCTGAAATTGCTGTGCCAGATATTACGTCACAGCGACTCATTTTCCAACATTTAAGCATAAATAATTGAAATATAATTATTAAAGAATGAGGACCTTGTGTTTCACTCTGGACGAGGGGGGCCATGTCTCGGCTAGTTGTGCATTAACGTTTGATACTCTTTTGTGGATAAAAATAATGAATATATGTTAAAGTAGCACTAAGCAGATACTTTTAAAGAATATAGTTACACTTAAAGAATAGGTCCAACGAATATATATTGAATATAGGACTCGTTTGATGAACGATCGTTGTAATAATTCTAATAAACCTATAGAAATGAATCAACGATTAAAGTGCTTAATTCGGTAATTTCTGTTTATTTTTTCTCACTGCAGTAGATTAAACAGATATTGGTTAGTAAAAATAGTATTCCAACAGACTCTTAACTCATTCTATTTGTTCATTAGTGGCAAAATAAGATTTCCCGGGAAAAAACATGAAGTCACGAACAGAACCGGTTATGGATTTTTATCGGCAATGCGTTATGCAACTCGAATGTAAATTCAAAAGTGTTCATGTTATACCGTGTTCTGATTGGCCAGAAAGGAGTAACACTTACCGAAATCACCTCATGGTTCAATGCCTTTTGGTTACAAAATTTTAGACGCCTTATGTTAGGTAATACTATCAACTGAGCGTGTTTATTTTCTATATTGTGTTCTGACTGGCCAGAAAGTAATTCTGCATGACTAGCTATGTGAAAACGTACCGCTGGGTCGGAGGCTCTAATTTAGGTATTATTTTTTTGGGTTTATCGGAGGAAAAAACGTGACTCCAAAGTAGTCATCTCTGAATCAATTCCTCACTTCAATGAATGCAGTTGCAATCAATTACACTAACACTTTATAAGCACGTTCGGAGATTATGAACTCCAACAACATATTCTAAACCCGTCCTGTTCGTGATGTCATGATAGAGATTTGAAATTGTGTTCCCGATTTTGAACATTAAATTTCACATTTATAAAAATGTTTACAAGAACGGTTACTGGTTCGACATGTTAGTGGTATTTAGAACGTGTATAAACTGTATTTTGACCCCATGAGCATCGAACAGACACTTTAAGTTAATTGAAAGACTTCGTGTTCAAGTTAGCTGAATTTCGTGTAACTTAACTCTGTTATGTTTCTAGATTTTACTTGTGGAGAACAGAAATCATAATCACAATCGTATTTTAAGGCAAATAGGCCATGCATATGCTTTGAGTTACACGGTGAATGATCAAATTAACATATTTTGGATGTTGAATTTCATTTCAAGTTCATTCGAATTTTACGCATTATCCAATAAAATTAATGTATACTGTCTAGGCTGAGACTAACATATATATGTTATTTAATGTATTTAATATACAGGATATATCTGAGAAGGTTATACATGTATAATATATCTACAAGAGGAACAGTGGGGACCGAGGGTTGATATATTACCTTTACCTGTCGAAAATCGGGCATTTAATAACTGATTTATTTGTAAATTATGAGGATTAGATACGCATTGAATGTAAGTTATTGAGGTGTTAGAAAAACAAACTTACAAACAAACCACCGAGTTTAGACATATTATTACATGTATTGTCCTATTATCAAATCATATATTGTGTTCTATTTCTAAAACGTTAACAGTTTATGGTGTACAATAAAACTATTACTATGAACCACTTTGATACATTTAGACATAAAATATCAAGTTACTCATCAGCCAACAAATCACAAAATATCGAAAAATGAAAAATACGAGGTACTTGTTCACTCAAATCTTGCAGTCAATTGGTAATGTATGTTATATAAATAGTATATAACATATATAATGTATATTATATAAATAGTTCGCAAAGTAAATGAGCAAAAGCGTAACATTTGTATGTAGCATGCTTCATAAAACAAGTCAGCGTGCATTTTGTTCCTGGCACTGATTGGTTAATAAGTGAATACAATTCGTTGAATGCACGATGCACTCACAAGATTAGCAGCTGGGAAAGGCTATTCAACAAAAAGTACGCTTTCGTACTCATAAAAGGATTACCCTTTTACAACTTTGACAACTTTGAAGCATGAACTTAGAAATGTACTAACTGTTACTGTTACCCTGTGGATCCCAGGGTTTTGATATGTTCTGCGAAGTCATGCAAAGAAAGACCATATAGTCCATTTGTCATTTTCTGAACGTATGAATATTTAAAAGTATGATGTTTTTCTGTGTAAATACTATCATTAGGGATTATTGGAGTGATTTAGCTGGGTTGCCAAAAAATAACTTTGGGGAAAATTTGGGTATCTATTACCATAGTAACATACCAGGTATATGGTGGTATCCCAACGCTAAGTCAATAGTCAACGCCATGTTAAGCGATTGCACCCCTCCCTAATCAGCCTATATAATTTTTTCCCCAAACAAACTTTTTCGGCAACCCAGTTAAATCACTTTAGAAAACCCTTATTATCATAAATCGACCATAAAACATCGTACTTTTAACAAATTCTAGGTTCACTTTTGGATGTATAGGGGTGACAAATGGACTAATATACTAAAAGTATATGCCAGCTAGTCATATCTGTGACACTTTTGTATGATATGTATTCCACTTTGAACCACCATCTATTTCAATATTGTGAAAATATATATTTCCCAAATTATAAAATAAATGATCTTGTATTCGCGAATGCCACTAACGCCTGTCGGCTGCCGGATTAACCTACTATTTTATGGGCAATTCATTAAAATATGAATGGAATATTGGCAG